GCAGAAAAGATTATTGCTCTCAAAAGCTGGTTTATCGCTTCAACAATTGTGGTTCCAGGTGCTTCGCCAGTGGCTTCCACCAATCGGTGATTCAGCTTTCTTTAGAACTTTGGCAGTAAATATATACTGCTTAATTTTTTTTTAAATTATATAAATGATTTTAATATATTAAAGTTTAGGCTTTATAGGTTGTCATAATTTCAAATTTAATTTTAAAATAGAATTTTAAAAATAAACATTTTTAATTTACTTAAAAAATCAGATTTAATTAAATTATTTTTTATATCTTAAAAAAATTGATTCTTCTTTGAGTGCTTGTTCTTATTGATTCCATTCTAGGTGTGCGTACGCCCACGTGCGTGGCTATCGGAGATTTTCCCTCTAGCGGTATATCTAGGGTCAACTATAGCACCATCTTGAGTGCTGCACTCATGCGTCGGTATATTAGATGATGCCGGCCCTATGTCCTCTTAGTTCCTTCTTACCGCCTGTGGTGGTTAGTCGGAGTGCCTTTTCCTTGCCTAGCAAGGGCTAGTGGTTTTTGTCTCTTCTGACTTTGAGCCTTAGGGCCTTGTAAATAGTTTGTTTATAGTAGTTAGTGTAATGTAATTGTTAAGTGTAGTTAAAACTTAGAGTCCCAGTGGGGACTTCGCCCCAGGCGGGGCATGCCCCGGTCTCTGGGGTTTAAGCCCTGCCTGGACTGCAACAGGCCTTTGCCTATTAGTGACCTCCACAGCAGCTGCCTGAAGTGCCTGGGGGAGTCACAGGTGAAGGACAAGTGTTGCATTTGCAAAAACTTTTGACCCAGGACCCAGAAAGAGCATGACATCCGTCTGAGGGCCCTCCTCATGGAAGTTGCTCTCCACCTGGCTTTCGAGCCTTCCTGGCCGGACTCTACCCTAGTACCTCGGCCTCGGTGCGTAGCACACCCTGGCACTGAGCTCCGCCCAGCCCACTCTCCATCACCGGTGCCCAAAAAGAAGGCCAAGAAGCACGGCTCCCTGGCAAGAAAGACCATGGGGTATCGGGCAAAGGACCCAGTTCAGGCCGCCCACCCATACCAGAGCCACATGGACATGCCTCCCCAATCAGGGCCCCTAGCCCCCCAAGGGATCCACCACTGGCTCCCGGGAGTGGTAGGAGACCCAGACTTGTGGCAGGACTTCCCAGGCTCTCCTGGTGCCTAGAGAGCAGAGGCCTCTACCAGTGCTGCCATCACCGCGTGTGCCGCAGGAAGTGGCAAAGGCTCCCTATGAGGACAAGCCAGCTGTCAGGACCCCCCAGAGGACAGTTGAGTGCTGCCAATCCTCAGAGCCGAGTCAGCGCTCTCCAACTCCATGCCACAGATCTCTGGCTTCACAGCCCAGGTCCTCTGTGGCTCACCCAAAATCACCAACACTGTGATCGCGGTCTTCACCATCTCAATGTGGGTCACCTAGGGGGAGTCGCCGGTCACCCTATTGCTGGCACTGTTCATCCTCCTGCCTGTCACCTTCTCAGTGCAGATCTCCATCCCCCGCACTGTGGAACTGATCTCCCTTGAGGTACCGGTCCCCCGAGGCCTATTAACCAGTGGCGACGGTTAGCTGACAGATTCATGCACTGCCTCGTCCAGGGATGAGGATGACTGTACCATCCGGGGGAGGCCCTGGGGCATCATCCCCCGCGGAGGAAGGGGGTTTCGGGATGGGCACTTGCTCCTCTACCCATCGCTGAGGCATCACCAGCACGATTGGGCATCTGAGGCTTTGTCAACCTCTGCGATGCTGCCTTGGCAACACGACCAGTGGCCCTATTGGTGTGCGTGGATCATGCCTGTGATGGCGATGCCCCCTTCGCACCATTCGTCAGCCGCCGCGTCAGAGCAACAGTTGGCAGCACTCAGAGGTCGTGGTAGAGGAGCGAGTGTCAGACCACTGGCCTGTCCCAAGAAATGCAGGCCTCAATTCAAGATTTCCCATTTGAAGAGAATTGTCTCTTCATGGAGCAGACTGATGCACGGCTGCATGGCCTAAAGGACACTCGGCCCACCCTTCATTCCCTGAGTCTGCATATGCCACAATCAGTGAGGAAGCAATTCCGTCCGCTGCCTCCAAGGCCTTGGCAGCCTCGACAGGAGTCTTTGAGGAGAAGGGATAGAGACACAAGCTTTAGTCACTGCCCTTCCTCCTGCTCACCCCGCAGCCCAGCCTGGCAAAGCATCCTGGGGGCTAGAAGCGCTCATTTTGAAGGTGCGCTCGAGCATAACACCCCAATCAACTCCCCAGACCCACCTTGTTCTTTCCTCGACCATCTTCATCCCTACCATTCAGCCTGGTCTCAGGTCACCTCGGACCACTAGGTGCTAGAGATAGTATCTCGGGGCTAACCTCCTGCACCTGGGGGCAGTAGAGGAGGTCCCTCGGGACATGAAAGGAAAAGGGTTCTACTCCCGCTACTTCCTAATCCCGAAAGCAAAAGGGGGCCTCAGACCCATTCTGGACCTGTGACACCTCAACAAGTCTCTCTAGAAGTAGAAGTTTCACATGTTCTCCCAGGCCTCCATTATCCCCTCCCTGGATCCGGGAGACTGGTACGTTGCCCTCGACTTGAAGGAGGCTTATTTCCGTATTCCAAGATCACAAACGTTTCCTCCGTTTCATAGTGGGTGGATGCCATTTCCAATTCACGGCGCTGCTCTTTGGCCTCTCATCGGCCCAAAAGGTGTTCACAAAATGTATGGCGCCAGTGGCCGCTTACCTGAGGCGTCGAGGGGTCCAGGTCTTCCCATATCTTGATGATTGGCTCATCAAGAGCAGATCTCAGGAACAAGTGCAGAGGAGCCTCAATCTGGTGCATTCCACCTGCCACAACCTGGACCTGTTGATAAACGAGAAAAAATCCACCTTATGGCTGGTCCAATGAATAGATTTCATTGGGGCGGTTCTTGACTCCACACGAGCCAGAACCTTCCTTCCAGAGGTGTGTTTTCAGGCCATGTCGGACCTGATCTCCCATGTGAAGAACCACCCACTCACCACTGCTCACACCTGCCTACGGTTGTTGGGCCACATGGCTGCATGTATATATGTGGTCAGTCATGCCTGGCTCCATCTCTGGCCTCTGCAAGGTGGCTAGCATTGGTCTACATACCCAACAGGTACGACCTAGACTGGGGAGTCAGGGTGCTGGATCACATCTGGTTGTCTCTGGTTGGAATGAGTTCCCTTCGCAGCTCCATCACCTTCACTGACACTGGTCTCTGATGCTTTGGACCTGGGCTGGAGATCCCACCTGGGCGATCTCAGCAAGCAAGGCTGCTGGCTACGGAATGATCTGACCCTCCATATCAACATCAGAGAGCTCAAAGCGGTTTGCCTGGCCTGCCAAGCTTTCTTGCCCCACTTCAGGAGCAAGGTGGTGCAGGTCTTGACGGACAGTTACATCAACAGGCAGGGCAGAGCCAGATGGTCAGCCCTTTGCCAAGAAGCTCTCCGCCTTTGGAACTTCTGTGTGCAGCATGCCATTCATCTGGTAGCCGCACATCTGCCCGGGACCAGGAACGTGTTAGCAGATCACCTCAGTAGGACCGTCTCCTCTCACCACGAGTGGTTGCTCCATCCAGAGGTGGTCAGTATGATCTTCTAGAGGTTGGGGACTCCCCAGATGGACTTGTTCGTGTCCCATCAGAACATGAAATGCCACGTGTTCTGTTAGATCCGGGGGATGGACGGGGCTACCTGTCAGATGCTTTTCTGCTCCCATGGTGAGGGGCCCTGATGTACGCCTTCCCGCCAATGCTGTTGATCCAGAGAGTCCTTGTGAAGATCAAAGAGGACAGGGCAAAGGTTATCCTGATAGCCCCCGCGTGGCCTTAACAGCACTCATCCGGCACGCTGCTGGATCTTTCGGTAGCCGCCCCACTGCAGCTACCCCTCTGGCCAGACCTGCTGTCCCAGACCCACAGCAGTCTTCTGCACCCAAACCTGGTGGTGTTTCACTTGACAGCATGGCTATGGCATTGCTGAATGAGGAGGAATGCTCAGCCAATGTCCAACAGATCTTGTTGGGTAGCAGAAAGCCCTCCACCAGAGCGACCTACCTGGCCAAGTGGAAGAGGTTCATGTGCTGGACCTCTGACCGGGGTATCCGGGCTGAGCAGGCTTCGCTGCAGGCGATCCTGGACTATCTTCTGCACCTCATGCTCCACTGACTAGGGCTCAGGCTTCATCAGCAGCCTTCCTGGCCCAAGAATATCTGCTGGGCTGCTACCTGGTCATCTGTCCACACGTTTACGTCTCATTATGCGCTTACCCAGCAAGCCCGAGACAATGCTGGCTTTGGTAGAGCAGTGTTGCAAGCCACACGACCGTGAACTCAGAGCCCACCTCCAAGGATACTGCTTGAGTCACCTAGAATGTAATCAACATGAACAAGCACTCGAAGAAGAAAAAACAGTTATCTCCTTTCATAACTGTTGTTCTTCGAGATGTGTTGCTCATGTCCATTCCATTACCCATCCTCCTGCCCCTGTGTCAGAGTTTGTGTCAAGAAGGAAGTGAGAGGGCGTAGGGCTGGTGGCGCCAAATATACTGACACATGAGCGCGGCACTCCAGAGGACGCCACAGCCGACCCTACGGATACCGCTAAGGCAAAAATCTCCAACGGCCACGCATGTAGGCGCATGCACCCCTAGAATGGAATGGACACGAGCAATACATCTTGAAGAACAATTACGAAAGGTAGGTAACCATTTTTTTTATGTACACTGGTTTTCATTTTTGACCATTCTTGGACCTTTTGAAAAAAAATAAAGCCTTATGCTAAGAGACTAAGACTCAGTTCTATTTCATTTGAAATTGGTGCACAACTCCCACTGACGTCAACAAAAGCAAGCCTGATGTGTGTCTTCACATTAATGCTCTGAGTTTTAAGAACATAATATTTGAAAAATAGGCCTGCATTCTTCATATGAGATTTAATCTTGTATAACCCTTATCCCACTGCACTTACATTTCAGATTTTTAATCTGATGAAGTTTGATAGCTATACTCGCTTTCTGAAATCCCCGCTTTACCAAGAATGCATTCTGGCTGAAGTAGAAGGTCGCCCTCTTCCTGATCCACAGCGTGTTCCCGGCAGCCCCACATCTAAACATAGTATCAACTCAGAGCGGTCCCATATCTCAACACCAAAAAAGGTGACTTTTGATTAAAGTGTTACTTTTCTGAAAAGTAAGTTCTTATCCATAGCTGAACTTCTCCGACCCCCCAAATTTGTTGGAAGATCAACAAGAATGTGTAGAAACTAATGAGTGTTCATATTTACTAGTGCTGACAAAGTATCTAATTGCCAAGTCTTAATGTACAAATTGTTTTATTTGTCGATAGGTTTTTATCCATTCTAATAGAAGTTACTAACTCCCTTTTTAATATAATTTTATTTATGTATTACCTAAATAAACGCATTTTGTTCTACAGCTAATGAAATGAGGTAATTATACTTTATGCGCCAATTCAGAAGTTGATTTTGATTGAAGTCCATAATTGTTAGGAAACTAAGTTCTGGTATTTTCAACTGCAGGTAGCCAGTTAAAATTCAGCCAGGGTTAGTAGTGAATGCTAGTACAATTATGGGGTGCTTTCAATGACCTAGGTGACGTGAGTTGGTAATTTCAGTCAATGGACAATTGGACAATTGTCTACATCACAAAACCCACCACTGCTACTGTCTCAAAATATCCTTGCTATCCATCCAGTAGAGAGGTCAAAGGTTAAATAAGGTTGGAAAATGAACTTCCCTCTCATCCTTAGAATTTATCCCTTTACTACAATAGTATCCAGCTTCTGATCCTTAAGGATGACTGTGTTAAGAAAACTTGTATCTGATGATATATATAAATTGAAAACTACCTATGAGCCACGTTCTGAGATTTTTAAACTGAAATGATTGAATCAGTCCTGTTGCTACAGGGCCGAAGTAGGGGACACTGAGCAGCAATTCTCTACAGTTGATAATCAGGACGTCACCGGGTTGGCCACCTGGTGCATTGAAGGGGAGAGAGGAGGGAGCTTTGGCTGCTCCATTATCTGTTCCCCTGACAGGTTGTGGGAGCCCTAAGGAGTGCATGATAAGCACATCTCTACCTGAGCATCAGAGAGCAGGTAGCAAAAGACCTCCTCCTCCACCACACAACCCTAGAGAGGTGAAAGGGAGGAGAAGTTGATAACCAAAATCCAATTACAGCTTCCTGATTCTCTGCTCCGACACAAGTTGGAGAATATTCTAGGAGTTGCTGTAACTTGCACCAACTGACAAAGGTCTCCAAAGGCAGCATGCTGGCAGGATAGCCAACATGCTCCACCCACTCCTCCCTATGCCCGTCACATCCTTCTGCACCAGAAGTTTTGGGATGATACATATAAGAGTTGACTACACTAGGTCTCTTGCCTCTTTGGGATTCCCTTATACCTGAAGAATCCCCAGCTGGAGACTTGTAGGTGGTTTCTGCTCTCTTTGTACTGCCTGAGCAGAGAAGCAGAGAATTTATCCCTAAACCTTGACTGTTGCCCTGGGATTTTTGAAATAATATATTTGACCTTCAAAGGGAAAAGGTTATTGCTATAGAATATGATTTATGCATGTTGGTTAGGGCAATGTGGGACGTTTGCTTTTCTGATGCAACTATTCCATGGAAAAAGAGAGGACTTGAATTAATCTGGTACCTTTCAGAAGAAATAATTCACACCTTCATCCCACATGAAATAATAATAATAATAATGAATTAATAATAAAAAGTCCTACCTGGAAAGCCAGAATTCCTGGCAGTGACTGGTTGTCTGGGCTGGCAACTGATGAATTTACTCTTTGAATTTCCTGGCCTGTTTTCAGCCAAATCCTTCATGTTGTTTAAACACTTTTTATTATAAAATTTGTCTAGGTAAATAAAATAAAAAAAAAACCCATAGTCTTTGGAAGCTTTAAAATTTTTTAATACTTTCATAGGAATCAGAACTTTGCTCATTCTTATTTCCACAATCATTGATCACCATTTTAAAATTTGAGAGTTTTATCTTTGCAACTAGATAACTTTACCACAGTATTCATTATTTAGTTGTAAAGGTAATGTTTAACTTTTTTTTTTTTTTTTTTTTTTTAATGTCAGCCACTGTATTTTTGGGGCATCCACTATTTTATGGATAGAGGTTTTTTTTCTTTTAAATTCAGCATTTTAAAGAATATTTTAATGTGAAAAAGATAAATGCTCATTAAAAGAAAATGTAGGCATAACATTATTAAAAATATATCTACGTTAATACTTTTCATCAACTATTATTTGTTATATATAAGTAGATGTTAGTTAAGAAAGACATTATCAGATACCTGTATTTAATTTTAGTTTATATTTCAAGCCTAGGTAGATTGCTGTACAGTATATGAAATTCTATATTTTTTTAAAAACCAAGTAAATGGAAATCCAATAACCCTTTTAAATCATTAGTTCTCTAGTTGTAGTCCGTAGACTGCCAGTAGTCTGTGGAGAGCTGATTAGTCACATTATGCTGGTATTTCTTTTTGTTTCCAACTGTGTCACTGTCCCAATATTACTTTTCCATATAAGCAGTTTTTGTTGTTGTGCTGGCATGTTATTTGATTACCAGTCGCAGGGGAACTGGCATACATAATAATGAGAAGGCAAAAAGATAATCAACCAGACTCTCACTCTATAATATAGTCCACTTTTAGGAGAGTTTGAGAATCCATGCTTTAGACAATATGTTTGCAAGAGTGCTCCAGCTAATATTTTATCTGTGTTTTGATGATAGTTAATTGGAAAATCAAAGTCAGGAAGGTCTTTAAATGAAGAATCTGGAGAGGAAGATGCTGAGAAGAAAAAAAAAGGGACATTTTTCTCCTGGTCAAGAAGTAAGAGTGTGGGGAGATCGCAGAAAAAAAAGGAAAATGATGACTACCAAAATGGTGAGTTTTCAAGTCCTACTTTGTTGCAAGATTGCTTCAGCAATAGACAGAATTGCTCCCACTGTTAACACTCAGCAAGGAATCTACACCTCATTACTACACATGACCCGGAGCAGATTTTTAATGATCTGCTGAGCTGTGACAGAGGGAAATGGTCATGTCCTGCGTCACAATAGCCAGGAACAGTCATGGAACTAGGTGGAGGTCTGTAGACAAAAGTCTGGGGAATGAGAAATTAGTAGCATTAAAGGCTTTCTACTTTGATATTCTGGACCAATGGGATTTCCCTCAGCTGTTTAAACATGCTTTCAACAATTTCCAAGAGGGTTTTTTTCTGTCCACCTAGCTGCACTCTCACTGCAAGTTGACTCTCAGCCTCTCTTACATTCATATCCTACCTTGGCCTTCATGGGGGAGTCAAACAGCTATATATGGAAATAAAGCCATAGGTGGCTATGCCCAAGTTCATTGAATCAGAGTGATGAGTGCTTTGTTGTAGAAACCTAGTTTACAGATAGGGAAATTACTTCTCTCTACAAAAAACAAAACAAAAAAATCCCTTAAGGAGGCATAGAGGAACAATTTAGGGAGGGAGAATGAATTCCACAGGCGCAGAATGTTACTAAAACACAATCTAATTGGCAGAGACTGGGTTGTGTAGCCTGTTCATTCAACTGCTAGTCAGTCAGTAGCTTTTGTTGAGAAAATTGTAGATCTTGTATGTGGCAACATTAAACTATTTTTAGATAAATGAGGTCTGGGCTAATTGCACTGTGTTTGAAGTAATTTCTATTAGTGAGAATATTTGCATCTCTGTAGTTCACTGAAATGAAAGAGCACCACATTTTGGCAACTGCAGAGGCTTGCACAAAGCAATTAACAGGCAAACAGTTTTAAAAAATTGCAAAAACAAAACTACAAATTCTGAAATCCACTGCAGCAGTCAGCTACTCTAAGACATTGTGTTTACTGCTGTCTCTTCTTCCCCACCATCTGCCTACCATGGTTCTTGAAAAAGCCTTGTGAGCTGTACAGTTGATGTCGGGGGGCCATGTACGTGAATGAGGGCTGCAGAATCAGATACTAAGGTTATAGACCTAAACTTTAAGAAGTGACAAGGGATTGAGTTCTCAATTTTTGGGTGTCCCACTTGAGACACCTTAAAAGAGCCTGATTTTCAGGGATCTGGTACTCACCTTGAAAGTATTGTAAATTGGTAGTCACTTTTTAAAATGTAAGCAATCATCTCCAAGAACAGAAACCTTGTCTTTTCATCTGCTTGCAAAAAGCCATGAACACCTGTAGTGTTATATAAGCAATAAATAATTACATTTAAAAGATGTTTAAATGTTCAGCATGTGAAGATAGTACAAGGATTTGGAATTTTTCTTTCCCAGATCAGAGAATGAATATTCTAGTCAGATGACTTGAGGTTTTGTAGCACCTTTAATGAACAGTAAAACCAAGCATTTTTACTTATCACTCTACTTTTCCCACTCTCAGATTCTATGCAGACCAATGGACTATTTTGCAGACGTGAATCACAAGGCTCCATGTCATCAGCTGCAAGTCTTGAACTGGTAAGGGCCAGCTCCTTAGAATCAAATAGTATGAGGAATGAAAAAAAAATGGGAGTGATTGTTACCTAGGAAATAAATAAAATTAAATAGGATATCTCCATTAATTTATTTTATCTCCTAGAACTGGAAGGGACCCTGAAAGGTCATCGAGTCCAGCCCCCTGCCTTCACTAGCAGGACCAAGTACTGATTTTGCCCCAGATCCCTAAGTGGCCCCCTCAAGGATTGAACTCACAACCCTGGGTTTAGCAGGCCAATGCTCAAACCACTGAGCTATCCCTTCCCCCCCCCGAATCAATAATAGCCCAATTTTTCTGCAATAGTATAAATAAACAAAATGTCTATATGTCTTTGTATGTAAATTTCAAATTCTTTTTAGACTGAACTTTTAAAAAAATTTTATAGCTATACTTATTTTGTGAAATAATAAGGGTCTGGTTGTTTAAACAGGTTGTCAGATGAATAGTTAAATTTTTTAAAGATCACTGTTATAGTGCTATTTGTGATCCTAAACGATCTTGCTTATAATGTAAAGATAAATATCTCTTTTATGCATTTTATATACCTGTTTTTTAAAATTGTCCTGCCATCTCCAAGCTATCCTGTCTCCTAGCTACCCCAACTTTCCTGTTCCTTTGGACATTATAATAAAAGTTAGCACTTTTATAGGGTCTTTCAATCCAAGGACACTAAAGCTCTCTACAAACTGACCCACCTTGCCTCCCAGCTACTGCAGCTCTTAAGCTCTGCTATGAACAATTGCCTATTGAATGGCTCTTTGGGTCCTCTTCCTCTTGACTATATATGAGTTTGAACTCATTTCCTTGATGCCCCAAAGCTGAGTATCCCTCCTCTCTCTTCTGGTCACTATAGCTTGACTCTGCTCCTAGTGTTTGAGGGATAAAAGAGTGAAGCATTCCCCAGCAGCATTTGCAACTAAAACATCGCAACACATGGTCATATGTGGAGAAACAAGAAGTGAAGACACAGTAGTTATAAACAATGTAGTTCCACCTTCACAGTCCAAGCTGAATGAAATGCACAAAGTAAACAATATAAATGATGAAAAGTAAACTTAAAATTTAATATCACCCTAGATTTCAAGTGAATTTTAACAAAGCGTATAAAAGAATATAATTTTAAAATATCCCTTTTTATCCTCACAGTATCCCTTTGACCTACAAATTTGATTTTAAGAATCATACAGATTCTTGTTGATATATGTGATGCTAGAGGGTAAACAGAGAAGTAAACCGTGCAGAGCCATATTTGTAGCATCCATTTAAATTGAGTGTTTATTAAATACTTCAAAATATTACCTTGTAAAAACAATGTAATGGAGTTGTCTCTTTTGATACTTTGTGTGTACTAAGATGATTTTTATGTGGCTATAATTAGGGCCTTACCAAATTCACAGCCGTGAAAAACGCATCACGAACTGTGAAATCTGGTTTTCCTCATGAAATCTGGCTACTGTAGGAGGGTTGCGGGATTGACATCCATATTTCTGTGCTGCGTTCAGAGCTGGGTGGCCGGAGAGCTGTGGCTTCTGGCCAGGCACACAGCTCTGAAGGCAGCACCACCAACAGCAGCGCAGAAGCGAGAGTCGCATGGTATGAGAGAGGGTCATCACTTTTGGGGGGAGCAGTGCCAGCCTTATAGGTGGGCGACTGCCCATGGCGCCGTGGTCACGGCGGGCACTGGACCCGGGGTTGGGCTGGGGCACCCCAGCTGGGGGCTCCTACTGTGCACTGGGCTCTAGCTGCTAGTCCCAGCCAGGCTAGGGAGGGACAGGACTTTCTCTTCCCTTGCACAGGCCACTCCCGGGGCCAGGTCAGACCCACCTCTGGGATCTTTGCCCGGCTGTAGGAAGCTCCATGGCTGCTGGCTGGGAGCCAGCTCTGAAGGCAGCCCTGCTGCCAGCAGCAGTGCAGAAGTAAAGATGGCAATATCGTGACCCCCTACAATAGCCTTGCAACTGCCCCCACGACCTCTGTTTGGGTCAGGACCCCCACAGTTACAACACCGTGAAATTTCAGATTTAAATATCTAAAGCCGTGAAATGTAAGATTTTTAAAGTCCTCTGACCATGCAATTTACCAAATTGAACAGTGAATTTGGTGGGGCAGTTCCCAGCAGTTCCTCCCCCAGAGGTTGCAGGGGGATGCTGGCCGCTTCCGGGAGCAGCGCGTAGCCAGGGCAGGTAGGGAGCCTGCCTTAGCCCCACTTTGCCTCTGGAGGGGAAGGAGTTGATCAGCAGGGCCCGCAGACCCCTGAGAGTATGCTCGGGGACACCCAGGGGTCCGCCGACCCCAGTTTGAGAAATGCTGCTCTAGTGGAAACTTCAGGGAAGGCAGTGTGGTACTGCCTCCTGCTTTCCCCCTGGTCTGAATTCTCCCTCCAGGGGTGGCTGCACTTAAAGTATGTTTAGATTTGTGAAGTTTGGTCTGTGGTAGTGTCTTTGTCTTAAATTGAAATAGTTCTAAAAAAATTACCTGGTAATAGAAAGATTTTGAAGGAAGGATAAACCTCAAACATGGTTAAAAGTGTGTTCCCTTGCTTTATTTGATTTGTTGGACTGTAATATTGTGTGTTTGTTCTTAACTTTCATTTTTGTTTCTGACAAGTCTGATGCCTCTCGGTTATCTGCATCTGTACCTGATAAAGAGAAATCCTCAAAATACTGCTGTATAAACCTTCCAGATGGCTCATCCTGTAAAATGGTTGTTAAATCAGGATTCTCAGTCAAAGAGATGTTATCTGGGCTCTGTGAGAAACATGGCATTAACATAGCTGCAGTAGACCTTTTTTTAGTTGGAGGAGACAAGGTATGTATGTTCCTATACTTTTTAAAAAAAATTCAGACTTCCTAGTCAGTTTACTAATGTGGGATTATTGATTATTTAGGGGAATACTCTACCTCTTTGTATTCAGACTTCACATTGACGATAAGAGGATTTGTGTGTGTTGCTCAATGGAAAAATATTAGTGAGATCATTACTGGAATATTGTGTCCATTTCTGATACTACATTTTAAAAAGGATATTGAAAAATTGGAAAGGGTTCAGGAGAGAGCTACAAGAAGATTTGAGGTCTGGAAAACATGCCTTAGAGGGAGGAGATTAAGAACTTCAGTCTGTTTAGTGTGTCTGAGAGAAGTTTAAGCAGTGACTTGATAACAGCCTACAGTATCTACATGGAGAAGAAATTTTTGATAGACAGCTCTTTAATCTGACAGAAAAAGGCATAACAAGATCCAGTGATTGAAAGCTGAAGCTAGACAAATTCAGATCAGAAATAAGGTGTATTTTTTTTTAACAGTGAGGGTATTTAACCATTGGAACAATTTATGAAGCGAGGGGATGGATTCTCTATCATTTGAAGTCTTTAAATCCGAACTGGATATCTTGGTAAAAGATGCTATGGTTCAAAAAAGTTATGGGCTTGATGCAGATTTTGTCTTGTGTTATGCAAGAGATCAGACTAATGATCCTAATTTACTTGTCTTCCTTGTAAAATAATCTTTTTTTTTTTTTAAATCTTTCTGCCAACATTATTTTGTCGTATTTTCTGATGTATCATTCTGTTTGTTCACCCCCTTATGTTTAAATGCCCAGGCCTTGTATGAGATGATGAGAACTCTCAATACCCATTGACTTTAATGGGAGTAGGGAATTGCTAAGTGCCTCACAGGATTGGCCCCTACATCTTTTGGAACTATCCAGAGAAAAAGAGAATCATGTTGCTTGCTGTAAATTAATACAATAATAGCCATACACACAAAGCTTAATAATTGTTCTGTCTCTCTTCCTTGGCTAATTTTAAAATTGCTTTTTTTGTTTTGCACAGCTGTTACATATTGTTAAATGATACATAACAAGTGACATGTTCCCTGTTTAACATATTTTCTCTTCTTTTGTTCCAACCGTATGCTCTATAGCCACTTGTATTGCATCAAGACAGTAGCATCTTGGATTCTCGGGATCTACGTTTAGAAAAACGTACTTTATTTCGGTAAGAGAAAAATATTATCTTTTTGTGACATTTTACACTCCAGCTAATGTAAATGGGCCAGAATGCATTCTGAGTTATGTCTGTGGAATAAAATAAAAATGAGTGTAACACAGAATAACATTTGGTATGCTGTGTCTGTTTCCCTGTCTGTAAAATGGGAATGTCAGGCTGCCTGGAGTGACCCATGAACATGTGTGCAAAACCTCAGGGCAGACTATTACAAACCACAGTACAAACCCCAAACTGGTTGTGAGTTCTATACTTAGATTTCACCAACCACGTATTAAGTGTGAACTCCTCAAGCACTTTAACAGCTTTAACATGGAGTCACAGACAGTCCCTTATGATACTTCAGTCTATCTTGCCACCCAGGCAAATTTGCCTTTGTGATAGATGGTCTCTTACACCAAAAACCACAACAATATTCAGATTACTCCCAGTCCCAAAGGACTAGTCACTTACCCCAGGTCAATTGTACCTCAGATCTCACACCAAAGACAACGTTTATAGTCAATCCTATAATAAACTGTCTAAAGATTTATGAGTTGCAGTAAATATATGGAGATATACCTATCTCATAGAAGTGGAAGGGACCCTGAAAGGTCACTGAGTCCGGCCCCCTGCCTTCACTAGTAGGACCGAGTACTGATTTTGCCCCAGATCCCTAAGTGGCCCCCTCAAGGATTGAACTCACAACCCTGGGTTTAGCAAGCCAATGCTCAAACCGCTGAGTTATCCCTCCCCCCCGTCTAAGGCTATGTCTACACTGTGCAGTTTACAGCTGTGCCACTAAAGCCTTGCTGCTGTAAGGCACACAGTGTAGCCACTCTTTGTCGGCAGGAGAGAGCTGTCCTGCCAACATAATAAAACCACCCCCAGCAAGGGGCGGTAGCTTTGTTGGCAGGAGATGCTCTCCCACTGACAAAGCGCTGTCCACACCGGTGCTTTTTGTCGTTAAAACTTTTGCTGGTCAGGGGTGGGGTTTTTTTCAAACCCTTGACTGACAAAAGTTTTAACGACAAAAGTGCAGTGTAGACATAGCCTTAGATTCCAAAACATAATAGAAGTTGCTGTAATGTGCAAGCTGTATATGTCCTTTTGGGCTAACCCAAGCTAAACAGCTGGGGATCGCTTGCTTATGCTTAGAAATATTGCCCTCTCCCTGAAATCCAAGTAGCACAGGGATAACAATTTCTTCTTGACAGGGATTTTTATTCCCTTTCCCCAGAACTCAAGTGGATGGGATGAGCATTTGTGCACGTCTCCTCCACATAGGTGTTGGGGGAGCAATCAACAAACACTTTTGTCCCCTGATGTTCCACAATGGCTTGTCTGGTGTCTATGGACCAAAGGGTTGGAGAGGAGATGATACCTCTTTTGGTAAACTAGTATTTCACACTTGGTAATACTTCTTTCCTGACTGTGGGGGTTTACAGTTTTAGAGCAAACACTTTTATAGGTACAGAGCTTACGCTTAAATATTACCTTATAACATAGGATGCAGGTATTATAAATGAGATTAATGCAAGCAGCAATTTACAAGCATTTCATAAAGTCCAAAAACTAAATACATCTCTATAAATCTGTTACCTATTTTAACGGTACTAACATACAAGTAAGCCAGACTGATTTCCAGTTGTGCATTTGTCAGTGTTCAGTGAGGCCTAGAAGCCTTGAAATGAGCTGGCATCTGGTCTGCCATCACAGGAGATAATGATGCTTACCTTCTTTGTAAGGAGCTTTGAGATCTACTGATGGAAAGTGCTATTTAAGAGCTAGATACTTGTGTTACTGTACTTGTGAAATTACTTATCTAAAGTCTGGGTATATGTCCATGTATACAAATTATATTTTAAAATTTGGGCTTCCCTCCTTGAATTTATCCTTATCTTTAAAAAAAAAATACATCTTTGTCTGTATGTTACCTGTAGGAAGGTCATTGGTTCTTTAAAACACTGAGAACATAAATTATATCTGAGACCCTCTTAAATCTGGGAAAAGTTTGCCCTTTGAATAATGCACAATATCCAACTTGTAATAATCTAAGAGAAATTCAAGGCAGACTGTTGCTATATTCAGAAAACCCAAATTAGATAGAGTACATGATTCCAGGAAAAAAAACCAAATAAACGTTGTGTGATGGTCTAATGTAAACCAATGAGGGCAAACAAACTCAGATATGCATCTGTAGGCAGCTAAACAAATGGCCTGATTCTTCTTCAAGTAGTGTCCCTATGGGTGCTCCACTGGAGGTCATGCCTCCCCCACCATCTCTGATAGACGGCTTCCATCTTTTCCTGGAGCTGGCAAAGAGGGCAGCGGACACCCACTACATACTACTAGAGGAGGTCAAAGATGCCCACCATCAGCTCCTTGATATCATGTATTCTTTGTCCTTCTCAAAGATTGACTCCCAATTAATGAAGCCATTTTAGACCTGGCAAACCCAGCATCAGTGGTGTTAACTTGCAAATGAGCAGAGAAAAAATATTATATCCCTGCCAAGGAATCGGAATTCCTATTTTCCCACCGACCACCCAACTACATTGTGGTGGATGCTGTCAATTTCCATGGCCAATAGCACCGGTCCAGAGCTATGCCCTATAATAGGGATAGGAAGCGCCTTGATCTTTTCGGTAGAAAGGTGTATTCCTCGGCCACCTTATAGATCCATATTGCCAACTATCAGGCGCTCACGTCCAAATACTATTACATAAATTACAATAAATGTAATGATTTTATTGAAAAGCTGCCAGAGGTACATCGGGAATCCTTCAAAGCCATCATCCAGGAAGGGCAATTAATATCAAAAACATCACTGCAATCAGCCCTCGACACCACCGACATGTCAGCTAGGGCAGTCTCCACAGCAGTGGTGATGTGACAGGCATCATGGCGCCACTTGTTGCGATTCCCGAAAGAGGTGCAGTCCACGGTGGAAGATCTTCCCTTTGAGGACATGAAGGTCTTTGCCAAAAAGACCAACGCCTACCTTTATGCCCTGAAGGATTTCAGGGCTACCTTCGGGTCTCTGGGTATCTATACACCAGGGCAAAAGATACTATTTAGTCCCCAATCCCAGCACAGGCTGTATGTGGCCCCACCCCCCGACTGACTCAACTGACCATCATTGTACACCAATTTGGCCACTGATTGGCGGCGTTCTGCAGTGCCTGGGAACGCATAACGTCAGACCCGATGGGTCTTAGAATCATCTGGTTCGGGTACTCCATCCATACCACCTCCACAACACCCTTTCCCATCCCTCTTCAGGGACCTTTCTCATGAGAGTTTACTACAACCAGAGATAGATCTCCTCCTCCAGTTAGGAGCCATAGAACCAGTGCCTCAACATTTATGAGGCAAGGGGTTCTACTCTTGTTATTTCCTAATAACCAAAGGAAGGGAGGTTGGAGACCCATACTAGATCTCAGAGCTCTCAACAAGTTTGTCAAGGCTCAGAAGTTCAAGATGGTCACCCGATTGATCATTCCAGCATTGGAACAGGGAGACTGTTTTTTGGCCTTCGACCTCTGTGAACCTACTTTCACATCTCAATCCTACCAGCTCAGAGGTTCATGACCATTACCAATTCAGAGTCCTCCCCTACAGGCTCTCATCGGACCTGAGAGTATTTTTCAAAGTTCTCTCAGTGGTAGCTGCTCATTTACACATGCTAGGAATAATGATTTACCCATACCTGGACGATTGTCTACTCATAGCCCAATCTCTCCAGAAGGCTCACCAAGTCATCGACACTATGATACACTTGTTCATAGAGCTGGGTCTACAGATAAACACCCAGAAGTCAACCCTCACTCCAGTGCAACATCTGGAATTCAAGGGGGCTGACCTCAACGCTTTGCAGACCAAAGCCCTTCTACCTCAACACAGGTTCCTATCCCTGATTTCACTCATAGACACCATTCAATGCAGCCCACAAATACTGGCCAGGCTCTGCCTCCAACTCTTGGGACATATGGCAGCAGGCATGGCCATGATACTACATGCCAGGATTCATATGTGATGCCTCCAACTGTGGTTCAGTTCGGTTTACAGACTGAACAGAGGCACGTTTGACAAACCCCTGTCACTACCCACCAGGATCAAAAACTCCTTAGACTGGTGGAAGAACCCAGAGAAGGTGTGCAAAAGGATCTCCTTCTCGCAGACATCACCATCGTCGCTCATAGTGTGGGGCATGCATTTAAACGGCCTCATGATGCAAGCAAATGGCACCTGTGGAGATGCATCAATCTCATTGAGAGCAGTCAGGAACATCTGTGCCCATTTCCTTCCGCTGATTGCAGGATCACACACAAAGATCCTAGCAGACAACATAGCCTGCATGTACTACATTATTGGTATGGTGAGGACCAGGTTGCCCTATCTATGAATGGAGGAAGTGAGATTATGGAACTGTTACATCTCCAACAACATTACTCTGTCCACAGCTTACCTCCCAGGCACACAGAACTCAATAGCAGACAATCTCAGTCGCAAATTTCCACACGATCACAAGTGGGAGATGCACTCCACGAACTATTCACATAATGGGGAACACTGTCTACATACTTGTTTGCCACTTACCAGAATAAGAAATGTCCATACTACTGCTCTAGGGTGGGGATAAACAGTGCTCGCTGGTCAATGCTCTTTTCCTCCCATGGGACAAGGACCTTCTTTACACCTTTCCTCCATTTCCTCTACTGCTGAAGGTCCTGCTAAAAATAAAAAGGAACAGAGCTCATGGCATTCTGATTGTTCCTACTTGGCCAAGACAGACCTGATACCCTTACCTAGCACAGCTCGTGATGTGCCAATTAATCTCCCTCCCAATCATTCCGCACCTCCTATCACAGGACAAAGGGTGTACTCTGCATCCCAACTTGGGGATTCTTTACCTCAAAGCATGCCTCCTGCTTGGTTCCAACACCTAGAGAGCTCCTGCTCAAGGGAAGTACAAGAGGTTCAACTGCACAGTAGAAAGTCCTCCACAC